TTCGGTGGAAGATTGGTAAGGGCTCCGACATTTATTTTTGGATGGACAATTGGCCTACCAATAAAAGCCTGCTAGGAACTCTCAACTTATAAGGACACCAAGTGGATATTGACTTAAAAGATGCAGACTTTATTTTGCCAAACAGTGAGTAAGACAAACCTAAACTCACTTCCCTATTTCCAAAACATATTGTAGCACGCATCATGGGTATTCCTATACCCAGTTAAAAAATGACAGATATGCCAGTATCATGCCCTATCCCCTTGGCAACATCTTAGTGAAGTCGGCAACTTGAATAGCACACAATATCAAACTCGACATGCCTAAATGGCCCTACCGTTGGATATGGAAGCTCGATATCCCTCCTAAGCTCTAAATCTTCCTATGGCAATTGATGCATAATAGCCTTGGAGTTAGAGATATCCTTCACAAAAGAAAAATTATTCCTTTTAGTAACTGTAGCCTTTGTAATTTAAATTCAGAGACAATAAAACACTTGTTTTTCAGCTGTGAAAAAATAAAGAAATTTGGCAACATCCTTTAACCAAGAGTTGGTTAAGCAGTTCCCTTGCTCATGGGGACCTGCTACCCACCCTAAACAACCTCAGAAAGAACAACTCCACTCTTAAAAAGTTTATCTTCTTATTATGGAGTATATGGAAAGAACGAAATTCTATTATTTTTCGAAATGATACATTAGATATCCCTCAAACTTTCCACATAGCGCAATTTGCGTTCAACGAGTTGCAATGTCGTAATCTCACAATTACCTTTGTAAGCTCGGGATCACCTATGCAGAGATCCCAAACCCATACCCACCACCAACCCATTCGTTCCATCTTGTGCCTAGTTGCATGGGAAACACCTCCCTTAAACTCTTTCAAACTCAAATTCGATGGTTCACTAAGAAACAACTCAGTAGCAACATGTGCCATCATTAGAGATAGCACGGGTTCCCTTATCGCAGCTCGCATTTTCAACCTTGGCGACACCACTGTATTTGTTGCAAAAGCTACATCTCTTCAAAAAGGCATCCTTCTCGCTCTTCAACACGGGATTCAACATTTAGTCATCAAAGGGGATAACCTCCTACTCCTCCTAGTCATCAACGCAGTCAAAGGAGTCTGGACTGTTCCATGGCAATCGACCATATCATAGCCGACATCCTCAATCTTCTTCAAAGATTTCAGCAATGGGATATTCACCATGTTTACAGAGAAGCAAATAGAACAGAAGATTGGAGCGCGAATGTAGGTCATCTTGTTAGTGATAGCATGGATATCACTCTTTACACTTCCTCATCTTTGTACCCTATTATTTCCTCTGATGCATTAGGAATTTCCCTCGTGAGAATAGGCTCCTAATGGTTTTTTTTTTTACCCTTTAAAAAAATCATCAATCTAATGTATAAGTCATATAAGGGATACAATTTACAAGTAACACAGGTACACAACCATACAATGTATTACAATACCAAGCTGAGCTTGGTTTAGTTGAAAGGAGAGCACATTTCAACCATGAGGTTGGAGGTTCAATCCCCACTAGTGACAATTTGGGGGGTGGAATTCCCTTACCTTCCCTCTACTCTCCTAAATTTCCTAGCATGTTAACCCAAGCGGGATTGACTCGTGAGGGATTTCAGCTTGGTAGGGCCCTTCATCTTACATATAAGACAAAATAAAATAAAAAATAAAATAAATTAAACAATGTATTACAAAAGGAAAAACCACCAAAATGAAATGGTTTTCTATTATAGGGAAAACTACCCGTTGAAAAGGTACACGTATCTAAAGATTTCCTTTTTTTCTAGGAAAATTGTTGGGAATAATCCGACCCAAGGTTGTTAGGATCGGGATCCTACCTTGGATCGATGGGGGGGGGGGGAGGGATCGAATCGATAGAATCGGATCGTAAGATCCTACATAATAATGAATAATATTATTTTATGCTATAAATTGACTTAAAAACATTTCTTATAAGGGGTTTCAATGCTAAAAGACATTGGTTTTCTTAAGACAGGTCAATTTTCATTTAGCTTTGTATATATCATAGTTAGAAGATTAATAACAAGTTTAAATTGATAAATTATGTGCAAATTTGTCAATAATGAGACCTTAAACTATGACAATTGCAAGTTATCAATTGATATAATCATATTAATGTATCAGATTCGCTAATTTATTAGCGATAATTAACATTAAATTTAGGTGCATATAACCTAATGAGTAATAAAAAAATGTCAAAATAAATTAAAGTCTCATATTATAGTGAAATGTTGAATCGGATCGTAGGATCGTGTTGAGATCCTACTACTCATAATTAATATCGATCGGAGTAGGATCATAAGATCCTACAAACTTTAAGATCCTACCAAAGATCCGGATTGAGCACGCAATTTTGGATCGTAGAAGCGTAGGATCGTAAGATCCGGATTGAAATTTTAACAACTATGATCCAACCTTTGCCTCATCCGCCCAAAATAATCCCACATTTTGATTATTTTTTAATAATCCGACCTTTATACCCTATCCGCTCAAATGGTCCCAACCGTTCATGTAACTTGTTATAAGAAGTTACTTGGCACGTGGCGGGCTGTGATTGGTCCAAAAAATAAAAATTTAAAAAAAAATTTATAACGAAAAAAAACAATTAATTATTTAAAAACCACCCACCGACTGGCGGCTGCCCAAGCCACCCTCCCGCCGCCTGACTCCCCTGCCCCGCGGCTCAGACCACCCAGATACCCAACCCCAGCGCGGCGCCAACGCTGCGCCTAGGGGTGTTCAAAAAAACCCGACCCGGTTGTCCCGTCCCGGTTACCCAATGACTCATAAAAAACCTGATGGGAAATTGACAAATTTTTCTGTTTTTTTCGGGTCAGGTACCCGTCCCGCTAAAATAGCAGTTTCGTGGGTTGGGACATGGGACAAGCTTTGCTAATCTCGGGTACCCGGATACCTGTTTTTAAAAAATAAAAAAAATAAAAAAAAAACATGAAATTGCTGGATAAAACAAAGTTGTAATTGCTGGAAATTTAAAGATCAGAGCATTGGAAATCTAGAATTGCAAGAAAAGTTAAAAAAAAAACAGAGAAAATAAGGAAGAAGCATTTCAACAAATTTAGATAATCATATTTTAAAAGCAGTAAGCAGAAAAGTAAATTATCCTTACGTTGAAATGATTCGAATCCTTCAAAATGTCACTATTCTCATACGAACCAGAACCTCCAATTGCTTTGCTTTGTACAAGTGCATGACAGCCCATCTACATTAAACACAATGGAAAAAAACAGCAATCATAAGTTGGTTGTAACTTGTAAGAAGGTGCTTTATACTTCAAAAGAAATGATAAACAGGCACAAGATTCACAATACTACACCACCGTATTCCCTTTGGAAGATAGCTGCAATATAACACGAGAAATGTAGCTCTGCAGTATGCGGGGCCCTTTGGTTCAACGGTGAGGAAATGAAAGGAAACAAGAAATAGAAGGAAAAAATTGAATTAAAACCCATTCAATTATCCGGGTACCCGTGTCCCGTCCCGGATAATTTGGGTACCCGAATACCGGGTACCCGAATTATCCGAAATGAGACGCGGGCTGACTTATCAACTACCCAAAGATCCGGGTACCCGGATCTAAACACCCCTAGCTGCGCCCAACCCCCATCCCCCTAAACCACCAACCAGCCTCGTTAAATTCCTTCCAGTCCCAATCCTCACCTCCCACCACTTCCCCGCCCACATTTATGGCCCCTCTCCTTCCCTTGTCCCTTTTCCGGATCCATCCCCTTACCGGCGCTCCGATTTCGGCCCCCATCCCCTTCACAAGCCTCAATTTCGGCCCCCTCTCCTTCCCACACCTTGATTTCGGTAATGGTTGTGGTGGTTTAGTGGCGACGGAAGGGGTGGGGAGGCTCGGTGAACGACGCGAGGGAGCTGGGATATGGTCGCGGTGGGCCTACAGGATCTGGGCCTCGTTTGGGTCGATGGTAGGGGCACTCAGGCGGGGAGGTGGCTGGGGTCATGGTGGGGCTAGGGTTTGGTTAAAGTTTAGTTTTATTTTATTTTATTATTTTTATGAAAAAAAAGTTAAAAATAGTTAATTAATGTTAATTAGTAATAATCATTTCTTAAAAAAATTAAAATTAATCTTATTTTTTTTACCAATCACGTGATGACACGTGTAAATTAAACTCAATAAAAAAAATTACCTATCCAACCGGTTACGGGTCACTTGGGACTATTTTGCGCGGATTGGGTATAAAGGTCAAATTATTAAAAAATAATCAAAAGGTGGGATTATTTTGGGCGGATGAGGCAAAGGTCGGATTATTCCCGACAATTTTTCCTTTTTTCCAAGGAATATCTAAAGGTTTCCTATCACAGCAAAAAAACCATCAAAAATAAAACAAAGAAAACCTCCCTATTTTAGAGAATGATGTACTAATAAATGAAGGGAAAAGGAAGATTTTATTTTTTATTTTTATTTTTTATATAAAGTATAACCGTACAAGTATTGAGAAGATTTATTTACCCTAGAAAGAAGACTCGTCTCTTCTATGATAAGTATTGTGACTAATAATCCTTCAACAAGCTCAGCAACACCTTCCAGCTGAACAACTCAGATGATATAACAACCTACTGATCCTACGTGGCAGTTTGTTATAACCGATTCCTTATTTCTAGGAGTTTGTTACATATTCTGTTATGATGTAATAAGAAGCTACTAGATATTGTAATAATCCTATAAATAAGGATGCATTGTATACTTCACATTTTATGCAATCAAAAATATGGGTTTCACTCTATTTCTTTTCTTTGTTCAATTGATTCATATTTTGAATCTCAATATGGTATCAGAGCAGGCGATTTGAGCTGCCATTTTTCTTTTCATTTTGATTGTTTGAAAGTTTCTGAAGTTCAATCTTCAAGAAAATTTCATAATTCTCCTTTTTTTTATCAAAGTATCTTGTTGAAGAAGAAATTCCAGTCATAATCATGGCAAATAGTTCACAATCTGTTATACAAGATGTTAATTCAGTTTATTACATTCATCCATCTGAGAATCCCACAGTTTCTTTGGTTTCTGAAAAATTCAATGGAGACAACTATGCAGATTGGAAGAAAGGAATGATTTTGGCGTTTTCTATGAAGAATAAGCTTGTGTTCATTGATGGAAGCTTAACTAAACCAGATTCTGGAGATCCAATGTTCAATGCTTGGGAAAGGTGCAACAACATGGTGATATCTTATCTCTTGAGATCCATGGATAACACATTGTCCAAAAGTGTTATGTTCTTTGCAACTGCTGAAGAAATCTGGAAAGATCTTGAAGATAGATATTCAATCATATCAGGTCCTCAATTTTATTCATTACAGCAATCCTTAAATCAAATCTCTCAAGGTAATACTTCAGTATCTGAATTTTTTACCAAGATTAAAGGAATGTGGGATCAGATTAGTGCTGCCAGGCCAATTCCTGTGTGTACTTGTAATGGATGCTCGTGTAACCTCATTAAAAACTTTTTTAAATCTCAACAAGATGAAAGGTTGATCCATTTTCTGATGAAGTTGGATAATAGGTATGCAGCTGTTAGAACAAACTTCCTGATGATGAATCCATTGCCAACAATTTCTGCTACTTATAATCTCTTAGTGCAGGATGAAAGGAAAAAAGAGGTTTCAGAAGTTTATAAGCAACACTCTGCCATGGTGTTTTTAGCAGCAGATGAAAAGAAGATGGATCATTTAGGACAACATAAGCAACAGTTCACTGGTAATACTTCAAGATTTCTGTACAGGAGGAATACAACAATGTATTGTGATCATTGCAAGATGCCTGGGCATACTATGGATAGATGCTACAAAATCCATGGTTATCCACCAAAGTATGGTTATGGCAAAGGAGGAAAGAACAAAAGAATTGCAGCTGTGGTTTATGGTGATAAAGACACTGATGAAGAAGATCAGAACACAACTCATCTCACCAAAGCTCAATATGATCAGTTTGTGAATTTCATGAAGCAAAACAAATAAACTCAGAGAGAGATAGTTGGAGCTGCTAACATGGCAGTTACATGCTTAATTACTTGCTCAAATTCAAAATGGATAATTGATAGTGGTGCAACTGATCACATATGCTCAAATTTGGACTTGTTTGATACATATAAGTCTTATGATAAGCAACCTAATTCTATAACTGTGGCTGATGGTAAGAGAATTGTTGTGAAGCACATAGGAACTGTCAAATTCAATAATGGAATTGTACTAAACAATGTTTTGCATGTTCCTGAGCTACAATTCAATCTGATCTCAACACATAAAATTTGCAAAGATATGAGTTGTGATATCTTGTTTACTCATGACAAATGCATGCTATAGGGACCTTCGTTGAGAATTTCTCTGGTTCTTGGTAGTCTGGACTCAGGCCTGCATGCAGTAGACAAGGAGACTTCCGCTCAACAGAAATCATCAAGTCTAGCAGTAGTTACTGATGACTACAAATTACTGAATTTAAGATTAGGTCATTTGCCTTTTCAGAAGCTACATCATGTAGATCCTAAGTTTGTAAATAAGTCTAATCCAATTTCAATTTGCCAGATATGTCCTAAGGCTAAACAAGTCAGGAAATCTTTTTCCTAAATGTAGTTAGAAGAGTAGTGTCTGTTTTGAGCTATTACATGTAGATGTTTGGGGTCCATCTAGGAAGAAGACTCATGATGATTGTAGTTATTTCCTCACCATTGTGGATGATATGTCAAGACATACTTGGAAATTTCTGATGAGAAATAAAAGTGATTCAATTGATATATTAGATTCTTTGATTGCTTTTATTAATAATCAGTTTGGTGTACATGTTAAAAGTCTCAGAACAGATAATGCTAAGGAGTTGTGTGAAGGAAAAATTTTGTCTGTGTTTACAAAGTATGGTATACAGCATCAAAGAAGCTATGTGGATACACCACAACAGAATGGTGTGGTGGAAAGAAAATATAGACATCTGTTAGAGACAGCAAGAGCCCTGTTCTTTCAAGCAAAATTTCCTGTCCAGTTTTAGGGAGAATGTCTATTAACAGCAAGTCACCTGATCAATAGGATGCCTTTGAGGTGTTTACAATATCAATCACCATATCAGAAAATACATGGTGTGCAGCCTTCTGTTGATCACCTTCGAGTTTTTGGATGCCTGGTTTATGCTTCAACTTTAAAGAATAACAGGTCCAAATTTGAAACTAGGGCAGTTCCCTGTGTGATGATTGGATATCCAGCTGGGCAGAAGGGTTATAAACTCTTAAATTTGGAGTCCAACAGAATTTTTGTATCTAGAGATGTTGTATTTCATGAGAAACACTTTCCTTATCATTACTTCAACATCCCAAACACATCTCCTACATAAATTTTTTTAACAGCAGAAACCCTATTCACTCTCCCTGATACTCATGATCTTCCTGACATTTTTTATCAACCAGACAATTCTACACCTATATCTACACCTCACCCTCATTCATCTTCATCTACTCCTTCCCAACCTACAAATGATACATTTATCCCAGCTCAGCCTACTCCCATAGTTAGACATTCATCAAGAACAACATCCAAACCTGCCTGGTTGACTGATTATGTGTGTGCTGCCACATCACATTGGTGTAACATTGTGTTATTTGATGAGATACCTTTTGAACACAGAGCTTTGATCACGAAAATTTCTAAAATAGTGGAACCAACCACTTATTTTGAAGCAGCACAGTTTCCTGAATGGCAGACTGCAATGGAGAAAGAAATCCAGGCTTTACAGTCAAACAATACATGGGAGATATCAGATTTACCAAAGGGAAAGAAGACAATTGGTTGCAAATGGGTGTATAAGGTGAAGCTCAAGAAAGATGGCACTGTTGAAAGATATAAAGCCAGACTGGTGGCAAAGGGTTTTACACATAAATTTGGCATTGATTATGCAGAGACATTCTTACCTGTTGTGAAGATGCCTACAATTAGGTGTATCTTGGCTATAGCTTCTGGAAACTCCTGGCCTCTTTTTCAACTAGACATCAACAATGCATTCTTGCATGGTACTTTGCATGAGGAAGTGTACATGAGAATGCCTCAAGGAGTACCAAACCCCGATAACAAAGTTTGCAGATTGCTTAAATCTATATATGGTTTGAAACAAGCTAGTAGACAGTGGTTTGCTAAGTTGACATCAGAATTAAGAAAGCAGCAGTTTATTCAGAGCAAAAATGATTATTCACTCTTTCTACACAAGAATGGATCAATTATCTGCATTGTTGTTGTTTATGTTGATGACATTATTCTTACTGGTTCGGATACCAGTATCCTACACAGTTTGAAGGCACACTTGCATGTTGTGTTCAGCATCAAGGATTTGGGTGATCTTAATTTCTTTCTGGGCATTGAAGTGTCAAGAGTTCCTTCTGAAATCATACTCAGTCAGAGGATATTCTCCAAAGAATTGCTTAAGGAATGTGAAATGGATATTTCAAAGCCAGCAAAAACACCATTACCATGCTATCTGAAGCTGTCATCAGAAGGGTCATGTTCTTCTGATCCTACTAAATTCAGATGTCTAGTTGGGAAGCTGAATTTTCTCACCCACACTAGGCCTGATTTATCATTTGTTGTCCAATCTCTTAGCCAATTCTTACACAAACCTCTTGAACACCATATGATAGCTTTACAGCATGTCCTCAGATACCTTGCTGGAACTATTGGTCTAGGAATTTTATTACATTCCTCTTCTCAGCTTACTCTTCAAGCCTATTCAGATTCAGATTGGGCATCTTGTCCTTCAACTAGAAGGCCAGTTACAGGCTACTTGATGGTATTGGGGAAGAGTCCTATTTCTTGGAAGTCTAAGAAACAGACAACAGTTTCTAAGTCTTCTTCTGAGGTTGAATACAGAGCCATGGCCTCAGCTGCTTCAGAGGTCACCTGGTTAGTCAGGCTACTCACAGAACTTGGTCTTTCTGATCTACAACCAGTACAACTGAACTGTGACAACCAATCTGCTATTCATCTTGGTAAGAATTCAGTTCATCATGAGCGTACTAAGCACATTGAATTGGACTGTCATTTTACAAGGGACAAGGTTCTTGAAGGCTTGATAGAGCTGGTTTATGTTCCTACTAATGAGCAGATTGCTGATTTATTCACTAAGTCATTGCCTGCACCTCAGTTGCAGAAACTTCTATCCAAGCTAGGAGTGTACTCTGATGACTCCTCTCCTAGCTTGAGGGGGGGGGGGGGATTGTGACTAATAATCCTTCAACAAGCTCAGCAACACCTTCCAGCTCAACAACTCAGATGATATAACAACCTACTGATCCTACGTGGCAGTTTGTTATAACCGATTCCTTATTTCTAGGAGTTTGTTACACATTCTGTTATGATGTAATAAGAAGCTACTAGATATTGTAATAATCCTATAAATAAGGATGCATTGTATACTTCACATTTTATGCAATCAAAAATCTGGGTTTCACTCTCTTTCTTTTCTTTGTTCAATTGATTCATATTTTGAATCTCAATAATAAGCATAATGAGATTTAACCCACAAACTCTCAGCTAAAAGTTGGAGAGCTATCCAAGCTAAGTATTTTAGCCTCCTGTCTCTTGGATAGCAATAAACATAGCAGTTAGCAAGTGCAATTTTTTTTTTTTTTTTTCTGAGGGAAAATTAGCAAGTGCAATTTCTAAAAGATAAATAAGTACAAAAAAATTATTAAATTAATAATAAGGTTTTTTTTATCTTTTTTTTTGTTTTGAAACCTAATTAATAATAAGATAAAGACAACAATACGACAATTAGTATTTGGTATTTCAAGTGGTGACAAGAGTTAGTAAGATAATTGTGTATAATATTGTTCCAAATCCATGCTAGATCGATGATGCTTAAACAAGAAAATAACAAGATTCAAATGCTAAAAGTTGATGAAAAAAAAGTACTAATATATTAATTAAAATTAGTGACAATTTGATAAAAGAGACAAAGATCAAGTTCAAGTACAATACTTCTATTATTACGCATGCTACTAGATCTGATCTAGATAAAATTGTACGAGTATTTTACCTAGTCAAACATTTTATTTGTCATAGAAGTATGAAGCCTTAAAAACTAACGACAAAACATCTAATTAAACCTCACAAGTTATTGCAATCAACTCAAAATATAGCTAGTTAATTACATATCACTTAAAATTGTGATACCCTCGTCAATGATAGACCACATGTCTACCTTCTTAGCATTTCTTGCCGAGCAATTTGCACGAATTTCACCTTGTGTACCCGTCAACACACCAAGTTGTCCCATTTTCAACATCGCAACGACAAATTTTTCGTAAAATAAATTTTGATTTGTCGCAAAGCTTGTGACAATCGGCTTTGTAATTGGATTAGTGTACAAATCTTGATCTGAAGTAAATAAGCCTTGGCGATTCATTAGGTCTACGTAGTATTTGTTGTCGAATACATTAGGAGTACGGATGTCCAAATTTGTGGTGCGATCAGTGTCTTTGGCCGGGCAAGTGGCCTTAAGGTTCTTAGCAAAAGTTTGGTCCATTGTTTTATCTTGTGTAGGGTAGAGCCTGTCGGTGAAGGAGGAACAATGGCCGCGACCAATGGTGTGGCCTCCGGAAAGGGCAACAACATCAGTAGGATCAAACCTTTTGTTGCCAAGGGATTTTAGAATGGCTGAGGCGCTGCTAGAAGGTGCCGGTAGATTATCTAGTGTTACTTGTGTTGTTGCAAAGTTTAGGCTGTCCCTCCTTCCTAGTGGAATGTTGTAATTTGGTCCACCAGACTGCAAAAGCAAATGACTAGTTTGAGAAATGCTTTGACATTATATAAACATGCAAATATTATAAAATAGAAGGGAATAGGTATATACCAGAACAACAGAATCACGAGCTGCAAGTGCAGTGATATCTGCGCAAGAAACAATCCGACCACATGTTTTATGGACAAGGGCACGAATATCATTTATGATTTTAAAGGCCTCTTTCCTTAGAGACAAGTTGGGTGGTGCGCCTTGTTCACTAGGACCGCTTGCTGACCCATCCAACAATACTGATCCATCACATCCCTATCATTTTAAATAATTTCAAACATTACGTACATGGTAAATGGACAAACCTACATAAATCATACTAATGTGAAGTACTTCGTAGCAAATAGTATTAGATTAATCCAAACAGATAACCCTTAATCGCAAAAACTATCCACTAATATAACACAGTATTATTATCTTATATATGTATTTCAAATTAATAAATAAAAAAATTATATGGTATTCTTTAAAAGACTTTACGAAAAAAATAATTTTCACCTCTATCACTTTATTAGGACAATAACAAGGGAATGTTGCAGCTATATTTTCTTCACTTATTTCTTAGTTATTATCATCTCTATATTCTCAAATTTTAAATATTCAAATCACATATTCACATGAAATTACTTAACACGGTAAATATGAGTCGCTAGCAAATCATATGTAAGTATGAACTAAACTACCGGTTGCACAAGAGCTTCTATGTACGAATGTAAAAATTAAAATTTTACGTGAATAATAACCATTTTTTTAAACTAATACGGTTACATATGTAATGTTATTTTATTTATTTATATTTTATCTAATGCTAGTTATAATTACTAGTACTCACATAGATTTAAGTAATAATCTTCGACAAAGAGGACAATTTTTCAAATTTTCCAATGGTTGAAAACTAATGTCGTATCTTTAATTTAAAAACACATAGTTTTGAATCGTTCATAAAGGCCCACATGAAGGGCAATTGCCCCTATATTACTAAAAACAAAAGGGGGTGGGACAATTGCCCTTACTTACGAAATACTATTTCAAAAAAAGAGCTTTGTTGAAACATTTTTTGGGTAGTGCTTTGTTGAAACATAATCCTAGTTAATCAAACACTATCCACAATTTGGGCCCCACCACCGCTAATAAAAAAGTAAATTAAACGACAAATTTAATACGGGGTACTACGTAGTATTGAAAGTAGATCCCTTTTCACAATATTTTTTTTTTTTTTTTTTTTTTTGAGGAAATTCCTTTTTCACGATTTAAGAAAGAGAAACATATATATCGTAATAAATAAAAGTAGCTATAGTTAAAAAGAGTTTATACAAAAAATAATGTTTAAATGTGAGAGTAAAGTGATACATCTTATGATCACCCATCTATAGTATGAGGCAAATTTAAATAGTCTATAATTAAGGAACGAATGTGTAACATTACTAGCTAATTCCATATCGAGGGAGCATTATTAAATGATATAAATAAATCGTTACGGAGGAAAAATAGAAAATATATATATATATATATATATATATATATATATATATATATATATATATATATATTACTATAGAGAATAAATTGAGATTTTGTATACAATTTTTTGGTAAAGGCAACAAAATTTAATCTATCATCCAAAATGCGAAATATTTTACCTACAATATAAGGATGTAGTTTGTTCATAGATCATGTATCATCATCTATTAACATTCTTTTTTATAAAAATAAATAAATAAATAAATAACAGAGAGCACAATATTACTCCATAATCATATTTCATAAGTCTTAATTCTTCATATATCATCTATCTCATCAAAAATGAACCACTATATGGAATATACAAACGGATTGTAAATCTATAGTATTACCAAAATACCATAATAATCTCAACTACGCAGAATTCAAGTAATCATCGCAACAACTAAAGTTTCACACGAACGATAAACAAATATATACCTGAACAAAGCAATCATGGAAATGAAGGCGAAGCAAACCAGCAGCCTGAGTGATATCCTTCTGAAAAACCTGTTTAAGATGATTTCTAACAATGGATTCTAATTGAGGGCACTTTGAACCATAAAATGAGTACGATAGTCCAGGTGCAACTGGTACACTACTTAAACTTCCTACTACCAAAGATGACATTATTATTAAGAACAACAAATTTATTTGGGAACCCATTTTTTGTGTTTTTTGGTTACCTAGTTTAATGCCTTAACTATAGTACTTAGTAGTTGTTGTTGCTCTTGATCACTAGGTAGTATCGAATGCTAAATTTAAAGGCCAATTTATAAGCTAAAAAAAGGTATTGGGTTGGGCTTGTTATTATTATATGAACTATTCGGGTATTTATTATGGGTTTGGTGAACATTATTGAATATGATAGTCAGGATTGAAAAGTCTTTATCTACTTTTGAGAATTTTTACTACCTAGTGTCACCCCTGGAAAATACGAAGTAAATACTAATAGTAGTATTTTCTAAATGCCCTCTCTGTTTATTTTTTAGTGTTATAAAAACCGACATATAAGGTTTGGTAATTTAATTGAGTTTAATATATTATGATATAGGTTGGTTAGAGAGGGTAATATTAAAAAAATATATATATATAGGGGAAATAATAATTTATTAAAAAGATTGAGATGTGAGAGAAGAGAAATAAAAATAAAACAAAAAAAATAATAACAACCGCATTATAATAACGAAAACCATAGAAAAGAAAATAATTAACAGAAATTTAGTCTTTGTTTATACGGATTTTTTCCCCTTCTAACTTTAGGTAGTTAAAGAATAATAAAACGAATAGATTTATCTCCTCTAAAAAAAAAAAAAAGTAAAAAGAAAAAAAAAAAAGGAATAGATGTATTATGATAGTACGTCTCAATTATTTTACATTTTTACGGGAAAAGTGTTAGCAAACTTGGACATTATTATCTAGGGAGTACTCCCATAATAAATAAATAAAATGTGAGTAACTATAAAAAAAAAAAAAAAAAAAAAAAGTTGAATAATAAAAAATTACTGGCGGCTTGACTAAGTCAATAATGGTATTCAATCCATAATTATATTTAATTATTTACTGATGGCAAATGCTAAAAGCACTCTTAAATGTTAGATAAGAGAACTAAAACTGAAAATATTAAAGCAAAATTATCATACCTAATTACATTGATTGACGTGTGATTTTGTCATACATTCCTAAATAAGTATGTTAATTAGTTTTCTACTCCCTCCGTCCCATAATACTTGGGATGTTGGGGTGTGTTAAAATATGCCTTGAATTGGATTTAGGAGCAACGAGATATAGCTCGTGAGGTAGCTTAGTAGTTTCGAAAGTAATTGGAAATGCGATGGAATTGGAGCTATAACACCTAGGCAAGTGAGCTATAGCTCACAAAGCCGTTTTGGTTCGGTTGGGTCGAGTGAACTAACGAGCGTGTGAGAGCTCGGTCACGCGCAAGTCTTGAAGTCGCGCGCAGCTGACACGCACAAGTTGTAAAATTGTCATTTTAAATGTCAAATAACTATTTTACCCTAAGAAAAAATATAGATGCTATGGGTCAAGATGCATTCCTTATGGTTGGCACAAGCATCTCGAATCGCCGAATAAAATTCTCAAATGTCGGCTATAAAAGCAGTAGAGTTAGGGGTGGGACTTCGGTCTGGCGGTTCGGTTTGTCCTCGGTTTGAGTCGGTTTCGGTTTGAAGCGGTTCGGATTGAAACGGTTTAGTTTAGCTGGCGGGTCGGTTTGGTTCGATTTGGGTTAGTCACGGCTCGGTTTGGTTTCGGTTTATTTCTTTGCGGTTTAAATTCGGTTTGGGTCATAAGCGGGTCGGTTTATAAATGATTCGGATTATGTCGGTTCGGTTTGATACGGGTCGGTTAAGGGGGCGGGTTTACCCGGGTCAATGTCAGTTCGGTTTACAAACGGTTTGGATCAAGCCGATTTGGTTTGAAATGGGTCGGTTTAGGGGCGGGTTTACCCGGGTTAATATCGTTTCGGTTTATAAACGGTGCGAATCATGTCGGTTCAGTTTGAAATGGGCCGGTTTAGTGGAGGGTTTACACAGTTCAATTGGTTCGGTTTATGAACGGTTTGGATCATGTCGGTTCGGTTTATAAGCGGTTTGGGTCATGAATTCATGATTGTTTTAAAGATCGCGTCATGACCATGATTTAATGAGTTGATACTTATAATACGATAAATCGATAATTAAGAATGTACAAGTATTCAATTAGATTGGTCAACAAGTGTTTTAAACTTTTAAGTTTTAATGATCAGATATGTAAATATGTTTATCGATTGTAGTACATACCAATAATTCAATGAGGAAATGATACTTATGATAGTATGATAATGATACCAACCGTACATTCGTACGATATGATATACATAATAATTAATCTATAATTACATATACATTAACAATATCGTATTGAATCAATTTCCATTTCCAAACATTGCATTTCTTATAAATTATAACTTACACGAGATTAAATGGATTCGTTATTTAGTTTGTTACTTTATTTAGATTACTAACTCAAACAACTTAATAAGTTAAATGGACGAAATAACGAAATCACTAATTAAAGTGGTGATGAAATCATTATGCAATACTAATGTACGAATAGTCAAATATACAACGGTTAGATATAATGCCCATGAAAAACAATGGTTAGATTTTCATTACTTTATTAGTTATTAGTATTACTTATTAAGTTATTATTAGTTTATTATATATATATACTGATATACAGTCACAGACTCACAGATATATATAATATACATATAGAGATGTCAGATATTGATGTGCATTAACTCATTAAGTCATTAACTATGTCGTATTGAATCAATTTCAATTTTGAAACATTTGCGTTTCTTACAATTTATAACTTATAAGTAATAAACTAATAATAATAGTAATAGTAATAATAATAATAATAATAATAATAATAAATAATAATAATAGTAATAATAATAATTATTATAATAATATTATAATAATAGTAGTAGTAAAATAGTAATAATAATAATATTAACAAATAATTATACTAACAATAATAATAATAATAATAATAATAATAATAATCCCTCAAAATAATAATAATAATAATAAATAATTAAAAAAACGGTCAAAAAGACCTAGAAAATCACAAAGAAAAATCTAGACCGTTAGATCTAGATGAATATTCTGGAATCTATAAAAAAAACCTAAATCTAGAAAAAAAACAAAACCTAGAAAAAACCTAAACCTAGAAAAAAAAACCCACTCTATCAGCCATTCAGCCGTTTTACTCACTCATAGTTTCTCTCTCTAACTTCTCAGTTTCTCACTCTTTCGTTCTGAAATTCTTAAGAATCTCAAGCTCAACTTCTCAACTTTTAAAAATCCTAATTAGGGTTTTTGTTTTCGTTTCATTTGTGTTTTGGATCTACATTTCTGATTTCTCGCTTTACATTCTCTTTTTTTTGTTTTTTCAAATCTTCCTCTCCTTCAATTTGAAGGCTTCAAGCCGTCAAAAGTTCAAAACTCAAGGTAATTTTTTGTTAATTTTTGTTGTTTTCGTTTTGATTTTTTTCGTTTTTGTTTCGGTTTGTTTATTTAGGGTTTTTGTTTTCGTTTCATTTTTGTTTTGGATCTAAGTTCTGATTTCTGACTTTTCCATTCTCGTTTTTTTTCCAAATCTTCCTCTCCTTCAAGCCGTCAAACCTCAAGGTAATTATTTGTTAATTTGTGTTGTTTTCGTTTTGATTTTTTTTCGTTTTCGTTTCGGTTTTTTACTTTTATTATTTAAGGTTTTTGTTTTCGTTTCATTTTTGTTTTGGATCCAAAGTTCTGATTTCTAACTTTTCCATTCTCGTTTTTTTTTTCAAATCTTCCTCTCCTTCAAGCGTCAAACCTCAAGGTAATTTTTTTGTTAATTTTTTCGATTTTTTTTCGTTTTCGTTTCGGTTTTTTTTTTATTTCAAGTTCTGATAATCTACATTCTTGATTTTTTCTTTTGATCTCCTGTTCAGGCAGTTCTCCATCTTCAAATCTCCTTCAAGCCGTCAAAGGTAATTACTTTTTCCTTTTCGCTTTTTTTTAATACAGTTTTTCTGTTTTTGTATTTGATTATTGTTGTTGTTTTTTCTTGAATATAGTCGAAATATGCCTAAAATCTGTTGTTGATTGTATTTTTGTTTTTTAAGGGAAAATGGTAGATTTGTGTTGTTTTGTTGTTTATTATGCTCGATTTAAAAATAATGATGATGGGTTGTTCAGATTATGTGGTTATTGGCTTTTTTACCTATCAAAAGACCAAATTGTGTCACTTTCTGCAGTTATGTGCATAAAATAAATGCTAGTTTAGGGCTAGTAAAATAAACATCTCATGTTTATTTATAGGTTCATAATTTCATTGGAAACTTTTGAAAAAGTTTAAGCTTTTCTTATGTATGCTTTTTTCTTTTTGAGGATATAGGGGTAAACTTTTGCCAAAGAATGTTGAGGCATTGGTTACCACCCAAAATTGGTGTCGTGGTTATCAAGCGGATGTTGAGGAAGACGTCCTCCTTATTGGTAAAGAGATTGAAGCCGAAAGTGCTTCATCTGCATAACTGGTATTTGTGTCTCATTGTGGTTTATTTTATCTTGAAAAATCGTTTCCCTTGTCATTTATTTTCAGACTTGCTGGCAGCATTTTTCAAGACTTTTAAAATCGTTGCCCTTGTCATTTATTTTCAGACTTGCCGGCAGCATTTTTCAAGACTTTTAAAATCGTTGCCCTTGTCATTTATGTTGAGACTTAAATAGTTAAATTTATTTTGGTACTTGCTGGCAGCATTTCTTAAGTTTTTGTTAAAACAACCATTGCTCAGTGATGTAAATCTGAGAGCAATTTTAAAAAAAACAAAAGCTATAATTTTGAAGTTGCTTGAACTTGTTATGAGCTGCTGCCTACTGGTAGTGCTTTTGCCTTTTGGTTGTTGTCTCTGCTGAGTTGTTATTGCCTATATTGTTGCCTGCATGAGCTGGTTCCTGCCTCCTGCTAGCTTGAGGTGCTGTGTTGCTGCCTTTTGTGTTATGAATTTATGATAAGTTTTGTTGCTGCTGTTTCTTATGCTTGTTGTTTTAATTTTTCTTGAATCATCGTTGCCCTTGTCATTTATGTTGAGACTTCAATGTATATGTACTTGCTGGCAGCATTTTTCAAGTTTTAAGTTAAAACAGCCATTGCTCAGTGATGATACGATAAACGTAAATCTGAGAGCAATTTTGAAAAACAAAAATAAGTTCCTGCTGAGTCCCTTCT